GTTTTTATATATGTCTTCCCTTCAGAGGCTTCACGTCAGGTCCATCTGTGGGAAATATATGTAGGAATGATTGGAGTTACCGAAGGAGCGTAGGAAAAGGAGGTGCAGGAAAGGAGGAGGAAGAGGTGCAGGAAGAGGTGCAGGAAGAGGAGGTGCAGGAAGAGGAGAAGGAGGTGCAGGAGGAGGTGCAGGAAGAGGGAGGTGTAGGAGGAGGAGGTGCAGGAAGAGGAGGTGCAGGAAGAGGAGGTGTAGGAGGAGGAGGAGGAGGAAGGGGAGGTGCAGGAAGAGGAGGTGCAGGAAGAGGAGGTACAGGAGGAGGTGCAGGAAGAGGAGGTGCAGGAAGAGGAGGTGCAGGAAGAGGAGGTGCAGGAAGAGGAGGTGCAGGAAGAGAAGGTGTAGGAAGAGAAGGTGTAGGAGGAGGAGGAGGCGTAGGGGAAAGGGAAGAAGGAGGAGGAGGCGTAAGGGAAGGGGAAAATGGGGGGAAGGCGTAGGAGAAGGAGGAGGAGGAGGAAAATGTGGCTTAGGATGGGGAAAGGGAGGAGGAGAAGAAGGCGGCGTAGGAGGTGGAGGCGGCGAAAGAAGAAGAGGAGGAGCAGCAGCACATCAAGACACAATTGTCATAACAGAGACTACATTATGGTGAAGGGTGGCCGCCATCAGTGTTCCAGCCACCGTAACTTCCTCATGTGTTTCACCAACATTTATAAACATAACACACAGGTTTATGTAGTGCAGTTTTGTGGTCTGGCGGTCAGGGCTTAAATGCCACGGGGTTAAATAGTTAGTGACTTGGACGTTGATGGTGATTGATGATCCACTGGCACACGAGATTGACAGTGGTTGTAGTGGTGTGGTGGTTCATGTGTATGTATGGTGGTCGGATGGATGTTACTTCTCGTCCTCTCTCCTATAAGGATCGCTGGCTCGTGACCCGGGTAGGTTAAGTGGTGTGAGAGCATATGTCGCCTACTCTGCCTTCTTGTGTGTCGAAGGCTTAATAGTATACAGTGTGTTGTATTTCGTACTGACTCTCACTGTGGAAAGATGGTGTGTGTGTGTGTGTGTGTGTGTGTGTGTGTGTGTGTGTGTGTGTGTGTGTGTGTGTGTGTGTGTGTGTGTGTGTGTGTGTGTGTGTGTGTGTGTGTGTGTGTGTGTGTGTGTGTGTGTGTGTGTGTGTGTGTGTGTGTGTGTGTGTGTGTGTGTGTGTGTGTGTGTGTGTGTGTGTGTGTGTGTGTGTGTGTGTGTGTGTGTGTGTGTGTGTGTGTGTCCCCCTCTACCACTGACCATGACACCTCCCTCACTGTCATGGATGATTACATAACATCATCATCTCTAGTCTTGTGGCAGTGACCAGTGACTTGTCATGTATGGTCATATGCAGTACTCAACGCTCTGCACTATTTACAGCCACATTTTGAATACCTTAGTCTATCCTACACGTATTAAGACTGTACACTGTATATGAAGGTTTTAAAAATGATATATCCGCTGGTGTCCTTAATGCACTACATTATAAACCACGGCATTGTGTATAAGCTGCCACCTCCATATAGCGTCCAAGTGACAGTCTCTGCCAGCCTCTGCCTTGCACAGTCGTATATTACCATTAAGTGTGCATATCACCTGACAGTCAGACGTATAGAGCTGTCATGAGGGTGGGTGTGGCCAGGACCAGTGTCGTATGTTGGTACGGTGATGATGGGAGGGAAGACCACAAGTAATACAGCAGTCATGAGGTACAGGTGAACAGCCTCTAGCCTTAACCTCCTCTTATTCAGGTAAAAGTTTTCCTGCGAGAGTAAATCAATTTATTTAATATTTTTACCATAATTACCTAACGAAGACTCGGGTGGTGGAGACAGGCTCTAAAATCTTTCACCAACACGAGTCTTGTAAAGTACGGAATATGATACTATATGATCTTGTAAAGGGAATTGAAATTGTATGTAAATATATGAAAAATTGATGGAAAATAATGATGTAGGAACAGAAGTTGAGAGAAAATGTTGTGGAATTGTGTTGTTGATTATGTTATGAGGGAAATTTGTTGTTAATGATGCCATGGTAATGAATTATCAACGCCGCTGGTTGTGTGTGAGAGTTGGTGCGTGGACTCCCGGTGTGTCAGCTTGGAGAACTACAGTGCTCACCTTGGCGCCTTCTTCCATTACATATCAGTGGCGGCGGAGACAGATCAATTGTTCTAGGATGGTGGTGTCGAGTGTGTGTTTGTGTGTGTGTGTGTGAGACGCGGACATGGGCTGCCTCTATGAGTATGAGAGACGAGGACATGTGCGGCCTCTGTGAGTATGAGAGACAAGGACATGGGCGGCCTCTGGAGGATCACAGTGGTCACCTCGGCTCCAAGTGTCCATTGTATATGAATGTTCAAGTGGCCTCTTGTGTGATAGAGTTGTATTGGTTTGTTTACATTTGATTAATATTGCTTGAAGGTCACACACGTCAGGGTTATATTGTAGAGAAAAAAAATATAATTAGGTGATTTATTTATTTATTTATTATATTTTTTATTTATTTATTTTATTTATCTATTTATTTATTTAATGGTTGTTCCTAAATGAGGTCTTGTATACCAGGAGGAGTGTACGTTTGTCACTTGGTAACCTGTAACTCTGACGCTGAGTTTAATTCATAACTGTACAGCTGACCTTAATATGTGTTTATGGCAACATTCTCTCTGTAATGTTTGTGATTGTCGTCGTATCGTGAGTGTTTGATGACGTGGTTAATTGTTACTTTGTTATTATTGTTACTTGGGATAATTTGTTATTGCTACTGGAGTGTTACTTGGGTGTTACGTTCTCCTTCATATAACAGAGTGTAATGTTTTAATATATCAATCATTGAGGTGATAATGTTTATTTGATTTTATATAAAGACGCTATAATTTCTTAACCCTAGATCTAGTTGCTCTATCTTTATCTAAATTGTGTTTACAGAGGATTACAAAGGCACAACAACCCTCGTAACCCAACCCATCCCAACCTAACCCAACCTAACCTAACCTAACCTAACCTAACCCAACCTAACTAACCTTGGTTGACCTTTCGGATGTTACCCGAGCCAGGCAGGTAATGACTCCTCGTGTAGTTCTCTCTCTCTCTCTCTCTCTCTCTCTCTCTCTCTCTCTCTCTCTCTCTCTCTCTCTCTGTCTGTCAGCACACTTAATTAGTTCACTTTTTTTACACACACGCACACAAACACGCACACACGTACACACAAACAAACACAAACACACACACAAACGCGCGCACACCCACACAAACGCGCGCGCACAAACACGCAAACACGCGCGCGCACACACACAAACACACACACACAAACACACGCGCGCGCGCACACACACAAACACACGCACACAACACACGCGCGCACACACACAAACACGCGCGCGCGCAGACACACACACACGGGGACTGTGCTGAAGTTTGTATTAGCAAGTTTTAAAGTTAAAGTTGAATATAACTTTGGCAAGTTTTCAAGTTTGTTAAGTTGAGTGAAGGAAATTCTTGGGTTCATGTGTAGTTTGTTACTGACTGACTGACTGATAAATAGACTGACTGACTGACTAAAAATAGACTAACTGAAAATAGACTGACTGACTGATTGACAAATAGACTGACTGACAAATAGGTTGACTGGCTGATTGACAAATAGACTGACCGACTGATAAATAAAACTGACTGATTGATAAATAAAACTGACTGACTGACTGACTGACTGGCGGACTCATAGACATGTTGGAGATGTCTAGCCAAATTTCACCATGATGTTATGGTTTGTTTTCCGTGATGCATTGTGGGTCGAGGGAGGGAGCACGTGCAGTGATGGCTGATGGCGGCGTGTATGGCTGATGGCGGCGTATGTGGCTGATGGCGGCGTGTATGCCTGATGGCGGCGTGTATGCCTGATGGCGGCGTGTATGGCTGATGGCGCGTGTATGGCTGATGGCGTGTATGGCTGATGGCGGCGTATGTGGCTATGGCGGCGTGTATGGCTGATGGCGGCGTGTGGCTGATGGCGGCGTGTATGGCTGATGGCGGCGTGTATGGCTGATGGCGGCGTGTATGGCTGATGGCGGCGTGTATGGCTGATGGCGGCGTGTATGCCTGATGGCGGCGTGTATGCCTGATGGCGGCGTGTATGGCTGATGGCGGCGTGTATGGCTGATGGCGGCGTGTATGGCTGATGGCGGCGTGTATGGCTGATGGCGTGTATGGCTGATGGCGGCGTGTATGGCTGATGGCGGCGTGTATGGCTGATGGCGGCGTGTGTGGCTGATGGCGGCGTGTGGCTGATGGCGTATGTGGCTGATGGCGACGTGTATGGCTGATGGCGGCGTGTATGCCTGATGGCGGCGATGGCGGCGTGTATGGCTGATGGCGGCGTGTATGGCTGATGGCGGCGTGTATGGCTGATGGCGGCGTGTATGGCTGATGGCGGCGTGTATGGCTGATGGCGGCGTGTATGGCTGATGGCGGCGTGTATGGCTGATGGCGGCGTAATGGCTGATGGCGGCGTGTAAGGCTGATGTGGCGTGTGCCTGATGGCGGCGTGTATGGCTGATGGCGGCGTGTATGCCTGATGGCGGCGTGTATGCCTGATGGCGGCGTGTATGCCTGATGGCGGCGTGTATGGCTGATGGTAGCGTGTCACATGTATATAAGTATTGATGTCAACTGTGTATAAGTAATGATATCAACTGTATGTAAGTAAATTTATTAATATATATCTCTTGTTTACAGGTGAGTGTGGGAGACTAGCTGCAGGTGGGTGTCTATAACCAACAGTAGGTGAGGTAAATATTTATACACGGAATCACCAAGAAATAATAACTATCACTGAATTCCTTTTCCCATTTCTTTCAAGAGAGAGAAAACAAAGATATCGATTAAAACTTAAACTTTTACCTATTAATTTTTGAAGCTAAAGTTTGAAGTTCGATGAAAATTTAGTGGAAAGAAAAGGGGGAGAAAAAGTTAGCGAGGGAAGGACTTTATCTGTAGGCGTTCACTGACCCTGATGTAATGGTTGTCCTGATCCGGGTTGTAATGAAGCGTTGGGATTGTGTTGGTGAAGTTGTTGGCTTGGTGAAGTTGATGGCTTGGTGAAGTTGGTGGCTTGGTGAAGTTGATGGCTTGGTGAAGTTGGTGGCTTGGTGAAGTTGATGGCTTGGTAAAGTTGATGGCTTGGTGAAGTTGATGGCTTGGTGAAGTTGATGGCTTAGTGAAGTTGTTGGCTTGGTGAAGGTGATGGTTTGGTGAAGTTGATGTTTTGGTGAAGTTGATGGCTTGGTGAATGGCTGATGGCTTGGTGAAGTTGATGGCTTGGTGAAGTGGTGATGGCTGAATTGTTGATGGCTTGGTGAAGTTGTTGGCTTGGTGAAGTTGTTGGGTGAAGTTGATGGCTTGTGAAGTTGATGGCTTGGTGAAGTTGATGGTTTGGTGAAGTTGATGGCTTGGTGAAGTTGATGAAGCTTGGTGAAGTTGTTGGCTTGGTGAAGTTGATGGGTTGGTGAAGTTGATGGTTTGGTGAAGTTGATGGTTTGGTGAAGTTGTTGGCTTGGTGAAGTTGATGGCTTGGTGAAGTTGATGGCTTGGTGAAGTTGATGGTTTGGTGAAGTTGATGGCTTGGTGAAGTTGGTGGCTTGGTGAAGTTGGTGGCTTGGTGAAGTTGGTGGTTTGGTGAAGTTGGTGGCTTGGTGAAGTTGATGGCTTGGTGAAGTTGATGGCTTGGTGAAGTTGATGGCTTGATGAAGTTGATGGCTTGATGAAGTTGATGGCTTGGTGAAGTTGATGGCTTGGTGAAGTTGGTGGCTTGGTGAAGTTGATGGCTTGGTGAAGTTGGTGGCTTGGTGAAGTTGATGGCTTGGTGAAGTTGATGGCTTGGTGAAGTTGGTGGCTTGGTATGTTGATATGATGGTTTGTTCATCATGGTTTGCTCACGTCATGTTTTTGCTCGTCATGGTTTGTTCTTGCCATGATTCGTGGTTCATCATGTGGGACGGACACAGATAAGAACGTAAGAAAACAAATCATTATACTCTCTCACTTCTTCTCGCCTCTCTTATTGTGTTGTTATCCTGGATTTAAACAGAGAAGGAATTACGTAAATTAATCTCCAAAATATAAAATTATCAACAAGATTTAAAGATAACATAAGAGAGGATATAAAGATAATAATAACAGGATATAAAGCCGTAAACAAGGAAGGATTTAAGTAACTTTTAAATAAAAAGATAGAACAAATATAAAATTTAATAATTCTAATACTGTCAAATAATGATAATAATAATCAAAACTATCGTACTCTCTCGCTGCAAATGTTGTGTTGTTGACAGTTATGGACACTGTTGCCTCACTTGTGCTGCATCATGATAGATCCTCAGACCACTTAATCCAGGTGGGAGCAACATGCGAGGCTCTTACCTGTACTTGTCAGAGCAGGTTTGGGAAAGACTTTGATTTGAGTGTAGCAGAACCAGAAATAATTAACGCTATAGATGTTAATGTACAGTTGCCCACACTTTCACCTGGTACAGTTAGCATGGCCAATCCTCTCTCTCCGTCATTCAGAAACGCTTACGGGGGAGAGGGGTTCCGTGGGATGACATTGATTTTGGTTAATATTAGGGTAATATCCAGTCAAGTATTGTAGCAACATTGACCAAATTAACACTAGATAATTTTCTGTACTTTAACCTGTGTCTGGAGCCTGTCAAAATAAGTGGGTGACCTTGACCCATGTGCAAGGTCACAGGGGCAATTGGCCTCACGTGGCGTTATTGTAGTGCCTCGTGAAGGACTTTGATGAGACTGCCAAGTTTACACCTCTCATGTAGGCTGGAGACCTGAGTGTCGCTATTGTCTATACTTTCCTTTTATGGTCACTAACCCAGGGTGTAGCTGTCATCTCTATTCTCAAACTGCTGCTTGTTAGTTCTGCCAATAGTATGTTTTATCATAAGGGTACACATGTGTCCTACCCCCCCTCTCTCTCTCTCTCTCTCTCTCTCTCTCTCTCTCTTATCATACTACTATGTCGATGGACAATGTTTATAATAATTCTGAATTAATGATAATTATGCCAGTAGTAATTTAATTTTGATTCTTCACCTCTACCACTTCTCAGCCTACTAGCTATCCGGTCGGTCTCATCTGTGTTACTTTATGGCCTTTAATGTCTTAGTGTTAGTACAGGAGAACACCTGTATTTGTTAGGGTCACACTGGATAAACTCCCTTCTTACATCAGTTCCGGGCTGGGGATAGAACACGGTGGTGAGAGGCACTAGCGCTACTTGTTGTACCACCAACCAAAAGTTTCCATGGTGTCATCTTAAGCTGTTCTATTGTCTTTAAGGAACTTGACGTAAAGTTCTCTCCTGGCTCATGAAGATAATAATTAATACTGAAATAAGTAAGTTAAGCTGAAAATCAACTGAACCGGACAAAAGAAGTGTTTATCTCGCATAAGCAGACCTGTAACTTTCTACTTAGACAACAAACAGATCAGTTCAATTTGAGATCTAAAGGTCAGTGGCTGAGGTGACTTAACACAATAAAAGGAATGTTTCAGTGTGATAACTTGGATTTACACATCACAGGTCTTGTGTTGAACATCTTGTGCTGGTCCACAATTAACGTCGGTCTCTATTGGATCGAAACATCAGGTAAAGTTATCGTAACTCATAAACTGCCTTTACTTATAATTTATTATGTGTGTTATACAATGGTTCATTAAACTTATGACCCGAAGCGAATGTTTTGAAGGTTCCCTAACTTGGTTAAGTCATTGAACTTCCTGGTCTCGGAAACTCATTTGCCTCCCAAGCTATATTAATTCTTTGCTAGGCAGGTAATACAACCCTTGTTTACTTCTGAAGCTGTCTTGCGGGTGGGTGGGACTTTATACCGCAAGATATCATTGTGACGTGACGTTTATTGACGGTAGGCGGCACCTTCACCCCATCTGGCCGTTGTTGTAAAGTCACAGAGGGGATGATAAGACGGTGTTTAGTGACGTGGTTAAGGGACGTCTCCTGCTGTGTTGGCTGGCCACCTGCTGCGGTCACTCGTCCTAACAATGGTCACTTGGTCACTCAACTACCCAGGAAGTCCATCACCTATCTCTCAACATCTTGTAGCCATTACTAGTACACACACCCTCAACACTAATGATTGTTCTAAGTTGTAATGCCAGTCTGTGTGAGGTACAGTCCCCTTCACTAGTGGGTTTACAGGGGCTCGTCATATAAACATTCCAACAATCACTACATTGAGATATTTGTTTTAATATTGTTTTACTTTGACTCCATAGTGTGTTTAGTATTGTGAGTTTCCTTCTGTCGAATGTAAACAAACACAGGGCCGCCACACTGCTCAAAACCTGATGACCCCCTGTAAACGCACAAGTGAAGGGTACTGTACATTGGTTTACTGTGAAGAATAACATGGCTACCAGGGTGAAATAATGTTCCTCTGTTATGCGTTGGGTGTGAGGAGGGTGTGAGGGTACTGTGGTGAAGGTGTTCAGTCATGGGGGGGGGAGGGGGTAATGAGGTCATGTTATGTAGTGGTGATGCAATGTGGACGCAAACAACAATAATATTGATCCTCTCCAACAACACCACCACCACAATTCATCGTCACCATTAAACCCGTGAGAGGAAGACTGACGCGAAACACTGAAGAAGAAGAATTAGTTACGGAGAATTTTTTTTTTATTTTTATTTATTTATGTATTTATTTATTATATTTAATTTTTATTACTTTTTCATTATTATTATTATTTTTTTTATACTCACTCACTCACTCACTCACTCACTCTATTGTATATCGTGTAGATCATTGCGGATATCAGTCTGGCCGGTAAATAACATGTTGATTTGAGTCATATGTTACCTGTCACTTCTTATTAGTGGTGAATGGATGGGGGTGAGAGGGTGATAATGCCGGGAGGTGTGTGTGTGTGTGTGTGTGTGTGTGTGTGTGTGTGTGTGTGTGTGTGTGTGTGTGTGTGTGTGTGTGTGTGTGTGTGTGTGTTGAAGTGAGAGAGAGAGAGAGAGAGAGAGAGACCTTCAGGTGTACCGACTTACCTTACCTGGAATTTATACGTAAAACAAATATTAATTTTCACTTGTTCTTTACCGCATGTGACCTGTGGGATGGTGTTTGTATTTGTTTTGTTTTTTGTTTTATGGTACAAACAGGAAATTGTATCTTGTTGAGGTGTTTGTTGGCCATAAGTTGTGTGACCTTTTGTGTGTAGGCAGTCTCTCTCTCTCTCTCTCCCTCCGAGTATTGCTCAATAAAGATTTACAGGGAAAAACCAAGACGTTCCCTGAAGTCCTCAGCTCTTCAACTATTTGTCTCCCTAAGAATCAAAGTAATGTCTCTAGGAATTGGAAGTTCTGGGAAGGTGATATACGTAAGGTTGAAAGACACACACAGACAGACAGACAGACAGACAGGAGAGAGAGAGAGAGAGAGAGAGAGAGAGAGAGAGAGCAATAAGTGTGTAACTATGGGTAACATTTTCAAAGCGTAATATCAATGTTGTTTAAGGTGGTGATGTTGTTTAAGGACCAGGTGATGTTACTTAAAGCCAGGTATGCTAATTAATGTTGGCAGTTTTCCAGGTAGGGTGGGGGGTGGAGGGGGGGGGTGTCAGGTGATGATAATGGTGGTAAAGACATTTAATTGGTCTTAAAATATCCAGGTAAGAATTTTTATTTTATTTTATTGATATTTATTTTTTATTATTATTTATTTTTTGTGGTCATCCTTGGGTAAACATTTCAGTTACTGGTATATTGTTTACCCTCCACCTGGTGATGTAATTACTCTCGTGTTCGTAACGTGATTAAAATAAGAGTTTAAACTGACACTAGATCATCAATGGTGGAACTGTAACGTGATGGATATAAGAGGTTAAACTGGCACTAGATCATCAATGGTGGAACTGTAACGTGATGGATATAAGAGGTTAAACTGACACTAGATCATCAATGGTGGAACTGTAATGTGATGGATATAAGAGTTTAAACTACTGTAACGTGATGGATATAAGAGTTTAAACTGACACTAGATCATCAATGGTTGTATGTAAGGCTAATGATAAGTGTATATAATTGTATATGTTTGGAAGAACAATTTATCGTAATTAGACGATTGTAGGTGATTGTAGACGATTGTAGGTGATTGTAGACGATTGTAGGTGATTGTAGACGATTGTAGGTGATTGTAGACGATTGTAGGTGATTGTAGACGATTGTAGGTGATTGTAGACGATTGTTTTGTCATATATAGGTTATGTTTGTGGGTAGTTGAATGAGTTTAGATTGGGTTTATAAATGTATTCGTTAAAATAATCAGAAGGAGATATTGTTAAGAGATACCCTTTATTGTTACTCGGGTTTGGTTGGCTGAAAGATAAAATTAAAGTTAGGTTGGGTTGGGTTGGGTGTTGCATATTAGTTTACACTGGGGGTTAGAACTATATGCAAATTATGGATTATTAATGGTGTTTAACATTCATAGAGTCATTCTGTGTTGTCTGATAATTCGTGTATTTATTTTGTTGTATATTTTATTTTTATTTATATTATTGTATTTTTTTTTATTTAATTAATTTTTTTTTTTTTTTTTTTTTTTTTTTATCATCTTAATTTCTCACCGTTTTTCTTCAGATGTCATTTCCTTTCACCACCGCCTTCTCTCTCTTATCCATTCGACTTGTTTTTTTATTCCAACATTAGCATATTTCTCACTCTAGCGACACACACAGAAGTAATTGTCTCTCACTTGCGTCAGGTTGTGATGTTATTGGCTGGTGTTGGGGCAGAGGACAAGCGGCTGTGTTGATTAATAAACAATGACTCGATGTGAAACTTAACTTAAT